ATGAAACTAAACCCCTATCTTTCACCTTGCACAAAAGTCAATTCCAAATGGATCAAAGACATCAATATAAAGCCTGAAACTCTGAAACTGTTAGAAGAAAACATTGGCAAAAACATACAAGATATAGGTGTAGGAAAGGATTTTCTAAACCGGACATCAATTATTCAGGAAACAAGGTCAAGAATCAAGAAATGGTACCCCATTAAACTAAAAAGCTTCTGTACATCAAAGGAGGCAACGAGGGAAGTGAAGAGAAAACTCACAGAATGGGAGAAAATCTTCATCAGTGATATATCTGACAGAGGTTTAACACCCAGAATATATAATGAACCCAAAAAAGAGAGAATCAAGACAAGAAGTAACCCAAATAAAAGATGGGCTAAGGAGCTAAATAGAGAGTTCTCAAAAGAAGAATAAAGATGGCTATGAAGCATCTTAAAAGATGTTAAACATCACTAATAATTGGGGAAATGAAAATTAAAACCACTTTAAGATTTCATCTTACCCCAGTCAGACTGGCTAAGATCAAGAGAACAAATGATACCAAATGTTGGAGAGGATGTGGGGAAAGGGTAACACTCATCCACTGCTGGTGGGGCTGCCAACTTGTTCAACCCCTATGGAAAGCACTGTGGAGAACTCTTAAAAAACTACAAATGAACCTACCATTTGACCCAGTTATACCACTCCTTGGCATATACCCAAAGAACTCATCCTATTGCAGAGACACTTGTACATCCATGTTGCCGCTCTTTTCACAATAGCTAAGAGATGGAAGTGACCTAAGTGTCCCTCAGTTGATGGGTAGATAATGAAAATGTGGTTCATTTATTTGATGGACTTTTACTCAGCAGTAAAGAAAGATGAAATCATGAAATTTGCAGCTAAATGGATGGAACTAGAAACTCTTATACTAAGTGAAGTAACACAGACTCAGAAAAAAAATCGAAATCTATTCTCCCTCATATGTGGATCCTAGAACCAAACCATGATAATTGAGTATGTATCCAGACATAACTACAGGAGCTAGGATAATGGAAAGGAACCAGGGAGGGAAAGGGAAAGAAAGAATCTGAAAGAGAAGAACAGTAGGAAAAAGGCATTAACAAGGGAGATATGGATAAAAATTGGGTTGGTTTAAGGGAGTGGGGAGAGAAGGGTGTACAAGGAACTTAGGGGATTTAGGGAAAGAAGGAGCTCAAGAGAGGTAGGACCATAGGAGAAGGGTATTATTAAGGAAGAAAAGGGAAATGGGGGCACCTTGGGGAAACAATGATGGTGGGGTTAGACAATGTGAGAGATAAATAATGCATGGCTAGTTTTAAAAAACAGAAGGAATCATATTAATCCAACAACCTACTGACAAATTATACATATCACACCAAGAAATATAGGTCTAGGTAAGGTTTATCTGAGAACAATTGGTCTTTGCCCAAGATTTATCTACATGACACACAGTAATTAAAAGAACCAGACTGGTGGAACTAACCTTCTTGGATGTTTAACAGCCATACTTTGAGGCCTATACTAATTTGGTCAAACGGACAAAAAGGACAGTTTTTGCTCCTTGCCCTGAGGCCTATACTAATTTGGTCAAAGGGACATAAAGGGCAGTTTTTGCTCCTTGCCCTCCTAGGTCAACTAGTTCCAGGGGACTATGAGCATCTCCCAAAATGTCCTGTCATTGTGGTGGGTCATCTGTCCTCTTGATCATGGAGGCTGAGGAGACCCCACGAGATGGACTTGAACCAGTGTCCAGTCTACAAAGAAGAGGGTCGACATAGAGGAATCACTTCCTCTATGCTTCCAAGCGAAGCCAACCATGATCAAGCAGGACCTTTGACTTATCTTCACATAGGCGGAACTGGTAAAAGAAAGGAGCCAGGGCTCCTCCCATGTGACCCCTGAGGAACAGGTCCTCAAATGACCTTAAGAGTGAAAATAAACTGGTTTATCTGGGGCAACTGTATGGTCTTAAACACCCAAAATGAAAGTATAACCAAAGAATAAAGTCATCATATATTTCTTTAAGAGTTCAAGGGAAGATACTATCTTTTGAGTTGTTGGCCAGGGTGGCCCAAGGGACTCACAAATAGTAACTCAGCATAGAATTGGGAGAATGAACAGCAGACCCCAATCTTATCTAAAGGAATATTGACAACTGATTGCTGCTAGATTAGGAACAGCTGACCTTCCTAAAACAAAGACCTCTTGATAGGCTGAATAGATTCACCAGATGGACAAGTAGTGGGGAATGGCTGGGGGTGCCAACAACACAGTGGACAGCAACAGAGATAACAGAGTATAAGGCTGTAGTGGGGGGAAGGAGGCTATGGGAGGGTGCTATCTGGGAAGTGGGTATATAGTTGAACAAGATGGTTTGGGATGTTCTGTGTGATATACACACACAAAAAAAATCAACAAATTAAAAAAATGTATTATATTTGAGGAGAAAGCATAAAAATTTACATCATGTTAATTAGTAGAGATAATATACATTACCACTGAAATCTATCTGATGACTTTAGAGATATACAGGTGCCAAGGATCCAAGTGGAACCGATTATGACTAGTAATAATCAGATACATACAGATCAGAGATGCATGCGCCAACATCTCAGTGTTAGTAGCAAAAACAATAAGTCTTTCTGTAAGAAACAGTATATTTTAAAATGAAATGGAGATCTTTTTTAAAGGTTAACAATTCATTCAATTTTATGTCTTACAGGAATTATACTTAGTTCAACATTGTATAACTGTATTAATTCAACAGAGAACCTAAAAATTTTATAGCCACTTTTGAAAGAGCTGTATCTTTGTTCTCTGGAAACTGTTATTGAATATG